GTGTGCGGGGGGGAACACCATGAATTACTGCACTGAGTGATGCCAACCTAGTGATGTCACTGCTCTCCATGAGAAAGTAATACTCCTGTGCAGAAAATGCTGTTTTGGGTGCAAGAATACCATGTGCATATTTTACACAGAATAAGTCAACTACAGTATTTTCTGCACAGAAATGCTTTTCTCAGTGCAGAATAACCACCTTCAAATTTTGTCCAGAATAAGTCCCAAACTGCAAAGATTCTTGATAGTCCAGGCTTCTTCTCAGCAAGAACATTTTTCAATTATTTTCCAAATATCTTTGAATATTCTTTCCATTCCCACTTTTAAGAAAAACACAATTTCACACAAAGAGGGCTTAATATTAATAAGACAAATATCACCATCTCATGCTCTGCTGGGCAAAGAGACAATAATGATTATATTTATTTCTATCTTGCCTTTTTCTTAAAATTGGGACTCAAGGCAACATAATACAGCAAAAAAACATATATTTTTGAGCAATAAACACTGAACAGTAAAATGGGACTAAAGGATTAACAATATCAAAATGATATTAAACTACACTTAAAAACATAGACTACCACTGACAGATAAAAAGCAATTTTAAAAATTCAGCTGAAAAACAATACGGCACCCTCAGCATATTCTTTAAAAATTTGTCATTTTAAAAGTCTGCTGGACTAAATAGGTTTTTGCTTGCTGACCAAAAGACAGGAGGGAAGGGGCCATTCAGTCTAGGGAAAATGTGTAGTATCAGAAGTAAGGGTCTTTGCAAAGATCACATATTACAAATGGCCATGGGGCAATTGCATCCAGCACAGAAGCTGTAATGTTCAAGGCCACACATGGGGTCTCAGAAGAAAGAAGAGTGAGTGCCAACACCATGCAGAATTGAACTACAGGAGCTGGAATGCTATGACAAGCAGACAATGGCAGTGAGAGGATGACTAAGTGACAGCCTATGGCAAACTATCATGAGACCAGCCTATAAGAGTACTTTCAGTCAGCCACTTTTAATTGTAGGCTGCTTGTCCTCTCTCATCTCACCCTTTAGGTGGGATCACACAGCAGGATGAACCCATTACTTTCTTAAGGAATGCTGGCATCAATATAACTGTAGCAATTGCCACAGATTCTTAGGGCCGATGCAGACTGACCTAAAGGGCCAGCCTGGGCTTGGAGTTGGGGCAGGGCGACCGCACCGCCTGACTGCACACCGCGTGGTGTCAGGGTGCCCTGTTGGCACAGCATGCCAAAGGGGCACAAAAGAGCTGCCGCAGTGGCTCTAAGAGCGGCTTTTTGCCAGCTCTTTTGGGAGCGGCAAAAAGCTGGATAGAGGCCGCAGTGTGTGGTTGCCACGGCCCTGATCCGGCACTCTCAGGGGCAGCACAGAGCCGCCCCTTAGGGGCCATCTGCATCGGCCCTTAGAACACCATGTTCGACTTCAGGCAAACTTTGGTGAACATCTTCTTTCTATTATCTTTAACCCATTTTCAGTATCTTTTTAGTGAAGACCACTGAGCAATAGTTTGGTCAGCAAGTAGGAAGCCTGGTTTTTAAAATCCCAGCCCATGATCAGCTATAAATCTCAGCTGAATTAATCTGGGCTCCTCTCTCTTTTATTCTCTCAGCCTAACCCATCACATATGGTTCGCTTGCACACGACCATGAGATCCTTTGTTGGAATTAAAAATATATTTTAGGACTGGTAAAAGAAACAAGAATAGGGTTTGGGGGTTTGTTGCTTTAATATGAAGCTTCACTTCCCATAAAGGAAAGATGGGGGATCCTTTTTCATCCTGAAGGTTGAATTCATTTCAGAGAAGTTCTCAGGAACTACAATCCAATGGTGGGCAGGGCAAAAGAAAAAATAGGTGGGACAACAATTAACAGGACAGTTTAGATTAAAGCTGTTTCTAGCCATTACTAAGAATTAAGAAAGGCATTTCAGTCTTTTAGAGTGGGTGAAAGCTGTCTAAAACCTGGGAAGCCAATACACTACAGTGTCATGGGGAATGGGGTGTGGCCACCTAGGTAAACTATAGAGCCATATTGGGACCTTGGGGTCTCAGGTTTTCCCCTCTTGCTCTAAAGTAAGTTTTAAACCCTACCTCTGTGGAATGGTCAATGTAGTGACATATGTAAGCAAGGAAGCGGTTCATGCAAGGCTCCTTCACCAACCAATCTTATGAGTATACAATTTTCACAGACTTGGAGTCCGTGTCCCTTGCCTGTTCGCAGGTGGCAAATGGAGGGGGCCAAAATGGGGCACGCACCCATGGGTGCTCATAGGCATGCGTTGCCATTCAAGCCATTGGCAATTTTTCATTTTCACGTGTGTGTGTGTCCTGGAATGGATCCCCTGCGAAAAAGGAGGGGCGACTGTGTATCTAAAAGTGTGAAGTATGAATCTGATAACCAAGAATTTGAAATGGAACATATCATGCAAATCCACTTTGGAGAGAAACACTATTAGGGGCAGTTCCTACTGAATATTAATTTGATGGCAAACCCAACTTTGTTGTTATGTGATGTGTGGAATAGTCCCTTCAGAGGCTGTTAGAGACACTTGAAACCAAATGCTACCTTCCACTGACTAACTGAGAACAGTTTAGGACTCCAACCCCTCCACTTTTAAAAAGGTTAATCAAAAACACACATCTAATGTTTAATCAAGCTAGATTTAAAGTTCTCTAATATTTAACAGAATATTTTTTACCTTTCCAGCATATAAGGGGTCCCTTTGACAGCACACCTTGAGAGGTTCTTACTAGGTAGTACTTTAAGTGCTTCTGCTTCTTTGGCTGAGTGGTAAGCTTCAGGTTAATGTGGTTGGAAAATTCGGTGAAATATCGAAATCCTCTTTCTCCACAGCCTATACAGTTTCCAGAAAACCCTAAAGGGGGATGGGGATACAGACTGAAATTCTTCCCTTGATAAGCTGCAAAGCAAGCCATTTCATTGCTACTGGCATTGTTAATTATCCATTATTAAACCTTATGCAGCAGTCACCGACCAAGCGCATACTGTGTTTACTAACATAGCTCTATCGCTAAACAAAAGGGAATAAAAACCAATACCATTATTATTTTCCATGTAGCACCTACTTGTGTCTTATAAAGCAGAGGCACAAAACTGATGGCTCATAGGCCAAACATAGATCCTCAAGGACTCTCAATCTAGACATCTGGTAAGAGTGAAATTTGTAACTTGTGCATGTTTGGTTATGGTCATGGGTTGACTCTGACAGATTTCAACCACAGCTTGAGAAAGTAATTCTTTTGGATAACAACCCCCACAATCCCTTAGCCAGCACAGCCAATTCTGGGAGTTGTACTTAAAAAAGAAACCTTTTCCAAGCTGTGGTTTCATGCAAAGTAATGTGACCCAGTGCAGTATATTTTTAAAATGTTTAAGATAGAGTTGGCTTACATATTTTGACAGAAAAATGTACATCTTGTAGGAGCAGTATGTTTTCTTTTGTTTCAAATTAGCAATGTTATTGAAAATGAGGGGAGACATTTTAAAGGGGAGGAAACATTCAAAACTGACCACTAACATAGGGCCTTTGCAGACTGCCAGAAATCGTGCACATTAAATTGAGGCACTGCCCTGGCTCAGTGCTAGGGAATCATGGGAACTGTAATTTATTGTGGCACCAGAGCTCTCTGACAGAGAAGGTTCAATGTCTCAGAAAAAAATACAATTCCCATGACTCCCTAGCACTGAGCCAGGGCAGTGCCTCAATTTAATGTGCACTATTTCTGGCAGTCTGCTTAGGCCCATTTTAGGAAAAGTAAGAAGTTTGGTGGAGATGTTCACCATCTCTTACAAAGCCATATTTCTCTGTTAGGCTTAGAAGAGATGCAAGGGTTTTATATCTCCCAGAAACAAATGCCCTCTTCAGTTAACGTCTCATCAGGTTTCCTTGCATTTTCAGAGGCACCCTTTTCACTTTAATATAAGAAATTGATTTAAGTGTTCTAAGGGAATGCACACGAGAGAGAAGAAAATTAATTTCCTAAAAAAAGAAAAAAGGGGAAAAGGAAAATAAATTTCCTTTCTGGTCCATAGAAGTTGAAGTCATTCAGGTGCTCACAGCAGATTCTTCCTCTTACAGGATGTTCTGATAGAGCATAAATAAGTAAATATTTGAGGCAAAGCACTTAGTGTCATTGGGGAAAAAAAGTTGAAAGCTCATCACTCTAAAGAGTACTGTAATTTAAACATAAAAGACTTGGGAAAAGAGGTCAGAGGGTCAAACTAATTTTCCAAGGTGGCTAAATTACATCTTTAATTGGGCTTCCCTGGATATAGTTAGGGCTATATATTTTTCTTGGCCTATTGTAGATTTCCCACTGATTTCAAAGATGTCTGTGTATGATGGGAGAAAACAAATGAAAGTCACTAGGTGAGGTATAATAAAACTATCTCTCGCTGTGATTATGATGTGTTGTTAGGCAATTTGTTCAGCCTCAACGTTCCTACAGAAAATGCATCATGGCCAATATAGCAGTGTCTATCTGAGCACTCTAATCAACAGTTTACAAAATGGCCATAGTAAATATATTCAACAACAAAAAACAAAAAAAGGAAATTATTTTAAAATTTCAGTAACTTTACTAATTTAAAGCAAAAGAAAAGCATACTGTCCTTAGAAGATGTACATTTTTGTATTAGAGCATGACAGCCCATTCTATCTGAATAGCTTTAAAATATACTGCACTGCATTTTAAATCCAATATTGGTGTCACCAACCTAAATTTGAAGGACAGAATAAACACATGACCAAAACAACCATTTCACTTTGTATATATAAAGATGCTTGCTCATGTCCTATAGCAGTTGTGTGCTGTGAAGTCATTGCTGACTTATGGCAACCCTAAGGCAAACTTATCATGGGGATTTCTTGGTAAAATTTATTCAGACAAGGTTTGTCATTGTCTTCCTCTGAGGCTGCAAGAGTGTGACTCGCTCAAGGCCACCCAGTAGGTTTCCACAGCCAGGCAGGGATTCAAACCCTGGTCTCCTATAGTCCTAGTGGAATGCACAAATCACTATACCACGCTGGCTCTTCACCACTCCAGTATTTAAAGATATTTTGTTGAAACAATGAAATGGAATATTTTGCAAATTGTGCACCACACACATGGCAAATACTTTTTAAAAAACATGTAAAAATTTCCAGCAAAGGAAATTTGCACTAAAAAGTAACATAGAAATGAAATAGTTTCAAGAGCTACATATTAATAGCAGTCAACAAAAGAAGTCCATGCTGTATTGAAAATATAAGGCATCCACACAAAACACTATGTATCTAATTACTCAGAATAAAGACTATGGCTGAATTACATCCTGAAACATATGGTTCCAAAACATCATTTGCACTCACATAACTCCCCATCTTCTGATGAAACCACTGAAAGGGATAAGTGGCATTCAGCCATCTGAGATTGAGACTGCACTGACTGGCTTCGTATGTGTCTGAACCTCATCCTGAAACTTATTATTTCAATAACATCGCATCTGCTGTCTCCTACCAAATTTGTTCCTCACTTAGGCTGTTTTTTAAAATAAACCAGTCCACTTATTGCCTCCTTTCTCATATGCTCACTAAATTAGTAAACTTAGCCATAAAAATTCTATCTCACACTTTCTAAAATTTCTGTCCTACGCTTTCAAAACCCATGCATTAACTGATGGAAGATTAATTCCTCCCCCTTCCCCCACCATTTCATTCATAAAACATTCATAAAGCAATTGTGTTGGAGTTATTGGTAAGATCAGCATCTCAGTACCTTCTTGTTCCTGGGCCACTAAGATCAGAATCAAGCTTATGAAGAGTTTAGGAGATACTGCTTTCCCACAAGCTACTCCCCCTCCCCAAAATAATCTTCTAGGATTATCCAGGCTATTCCTGTTTCCAATGTGGAATGCTAATGGAATAGGTATGCATATTGCACTATTATTTCTTATCAAAGCTGTATTATTCAAAATACTAATGTAGAAAGCTGACATTTAATACATATGCAGCCAGTGAAAATACTGAATACTTATTGATTTTGACCTCCCTTTCTCAAAGCCTGGTACATGAAGAACCTCATATAAACACATATTACTCCAGAACTGAGCAAGAAAGGGTGGAATCTAGAGCACAGAGATTTCCAATCCAGCCTTAGGCAAGTTGAGTAGGATTTGTAGGGACAACCAAGCAAGCAGTTCTGAAAATATGACAAGGCACATATATGGAAATTGCTCTTTAGCATGCTCTAACAAATTTGGAAATTGTTGGGGAATGTTCTATTGGTAAATGGGAATGTGTCTAAAATGCAAACAGTGTGCTAATTATCTCTCTCTCCCCCCCCCCCCACACACACTCTCTTTGAGGGCTGTGGAGGGCATCTTATATAATCAAATAATTACTGTATGTCCTCCTTGATACTGCATCCCCTGAGAGGAGTGTCATTTGACAGGATTGTATACCTACAACATGGGCATGCCAGTGAAGGAGGCTTCACACTTTACATGGCAAATTCAATTGCTCTACAGCAGGGGTAGGCAACCTTTCCCCTTTAAGAGCTGAGGGACTTCAGCTCCCAGAAGCCTCAGCCATGTTGGCCAATAGTCCCATGTTGGCCAATAACTCCTGGGATTCTGGGAGCTGAAGTCCCTCGGCCCTTAAAGGGGAAAGGTTGCCTACCCCTGCTCTACAGCAATATATCCTAGACGAGAAGCACAAAATATAGGTGACGTACGTGTAACTTGAAACATCCACAATGCATGCATCTGGGGAAAAATAACTAAAACATCAATAATTTCTGTATTAATTGCTTCCCCTCTTTAAAATCCCTGAGCTTCCATGTGGAAGCTAAGGCCTAATGTTCCTCAGCTAAATATTAAAGTCCTCCAGCTGAAATAAGCAGATGGAAGAAGAGACTGCTAGCATCTCATCCTCCTCATCCGAGGACAGCTCTCCTTCCTTTGCCCCCAAAGAAGCAGAGTAGGTGCGGCTATCTCTGTAATTCCTTCCAACTCTATGGTTCTATGATCTGCACTCTGTGACCCTTAGGTATGTATTTTGCATTGAGCTTGCATTAAGTGGGGTGTTCTCATAGCCAGTTATGGGGAACTGGATTGCCAGCCAAGGAAAATTTGGGTAAAACTAGTTCTTTAGGGGCTGGAGCATTCTGCTTCTTTGCTCTAGACCATCTGCTGCACCATTTATCACCAATTAACCTTATCTTATAACAGTAATTGTGTGTCAGTGTTTAGTACCAAATAAAGTCTTGGGGAGTCCTGGAATCATACACAGTTCCAAAACAGAACATTGGCAAATGGGGCAATTCTACCCAGTTCCTCCCACCCAAGGGACTCCCACTTCAGCCCCTGAGTGTACCATTGGCTTCTGATGCAGGTTTGCCATGATGTCCAGCACATTCCCACATGTGTATCAACCCTGGTCAGACAAAGCCACTGACATCTACCCTCTGGACAGCCCCTGAGAACCTCTTGTGATTTTATAGTGATATTAAAACTGAATGACAGGATTCGGGTCTTGTTTAGCAAAGGCCTTTTAAAACAAATTTCAGAATACCATGATGAAAAATGAAAGTACTGAATTGGCTTACCCTCATTTGTTTTTGGATGGGAAACTGCCAATGAATAGCAACTGCGGTAGGCTATATTTCAGAGGAAGGAACTGGCAAAACCTGAATATTCCTTACCCAAGAAAACCCTATGAAATGCATGGAGTCATCACAAGTTGACAGGCAACATACACATATACACATTAATCCAGCCTCTGGAGATCATATGTTTGTCGTGGCGTGAAGAATAATGAATGAAAATCCATTTACCTAAAAGTGCATTTTTTCCATGGTCATCTGGCAGAAACCTCTTGTCAACAGCACAGACTAGAATGTGCTCAGGAAGGTTTGGAGACTTGGCTCCCACCAACAGGAAACCTGCTGGGATATCAATCTGTTCCATACACAGTGATACTAACCGCAAATCTTTGCCTGCTTGACAAAAACCTGGAGAGAGAAAAAGAGATACATCATGAAACATGTATGAGTGATTTATTGTTCTCTTTTCCACTTAAAATGACTATGGAGAATGCTAGTCACTCTAAGCCTAATAATGTTTTTCCTGCTTCATCTGCCTGTCCTTATTCAACATTTCATCAAGCCCTGTAATGTCCATGGACAAAGGGCACTAGATAAATTAGTGATATATAAAACAAGTGTAGAACCATGAAGAAGAAAAAGAGAGAACTGTTGTATGATAATGCAGAAACCAATCTTATGACTAGCAAAGCTTTTACTTTGCTTTTTTATGGAAAACCAGTGAAATTATTTAGCAGAGACAGAGAACAGGGCAGTGCAAATAGGAAGATAATCTGCCCACCTTCCTTTTACCTTCCTTCTGCCTGCTCCACATACTTCTTTGTTTCAGTCCAGCTGAAACCATCAAGTGGGCTGGAGTCCAAGAAAGCTAATGCTAAATAAAACCAGTTAGACTTTACGGTGCCACAAGAACCTTTGTTGTTTTTGCTGTAACCAATTATGGTACTATGGCTCTACTACCCTGGATTCCAGTCTGTGGAGAGGAGACAGGGATGTATATCCCATCTTAATTGTTCCCGACCTCCCCATATTAACAGGCAAGGTCTGAAGTGAAACTCTAACCATATTTGACTGCAGGTAGTTACAAGACTCCAAGGTCCGATTGTGCCAGGTTTATCCTTGAGCAGATCACTGTAATCCCATTCAAATATGCTCTTCAGGCTTTTTTTTTTTTTTTTTTGTCACAATGGGAAGATCAAGTATGGGGTTGAAACTCATGCTCCCACCTCTTTTTCACACCCTGAAATGTGAACACCTGAACAAAGTTTAAGAATATCTGCAGATAAGAGCTGCTTTCCACATTCAAATAACCTTCTGGATGAGAAATCACTGGAGACATCAAATGTGCATGTGAGCATGCATGCTATCAACATGTTGGAAGACCCATCTATGAGTTATCAATGTTTGATAAAATGTTAACCCATACATTGTTAAGGTAGGAGGGAACATCTTTGGGAATACCCATGTAGACTGCATTCATTCCTCATCTACTTTTAGGCAGTGGCCAGCACACCCCACACTACAATGCTTTCAACAGGATATACATCTGGATTTACACCTGAATTTGGATACCAATAAATTGCCTCACAGCTTGGCTGTGCATCTGAATTGCCCTGCTTCCTGATCTACAAACTATAGCTCAACAAGCTAGTGCACACCCAATTCATATCATACCAATAGACATAGCAATGTTATACCTTCAACAGCTTCCAATTTGCAACTCACCTAGCCCAGTCCTTTTAAACTGCAAAAGGCCAGTGCTGTAGTGGAATCAGGACTCACAACAATGAAGTGTCAGGACATTTTTATTTGCACAGTAATGATATCTTCTGCAATCCACCTACCCCAGCTTCTATTCCCCAAGTCTAGCTGCAATACCCACATAGTAACTACAAGGACAGACTGGCTTCCCAGCAACAACACGTATGTGTACACACACACACACACACACATATCAGAACTCAAGAAAACTACTTTTTGGGACTACAAATTCCATAATCTTCCAGTTGGTTGGTTGGGGGATTTTGGAAATTGTAATCTGAAAAAAGTAACATTCCCAACTTCCAGAGAGCCGACATGGTGTAGTGAGTTGAGCACTGGACTCCGACTCTGGAGACCAGGTTCATTTTTGCCATTTTATATAAGGGACTCCATTTTCCTACACCATTGTATTTAATTGACTTGAGTATCCACTGATTTTGAGATCCACAGGGAGATAGTAGTCATGGAACCAAACTCCAGTGAAAATCCCAGTTCAGCCATGTAAACCCACTGAGTGACTTTGGATAAGTCACTTTCTCTCAGCTTCAGAGATGGCTATGGCAAATCCCCTCAGAAGAAACTTATCAAGAAAGCCCCATGACTGGTTCACCTTAGGATTGCTGTAAGTTGAAAAAGACTTGAAGACAAACAACAAGAGCTGAAGTTTTAAGTTATTGCAATGCTAG